TTTTTGAACTCCTCAATCCACAGCGAACTGTCAATGCAGAGATCTATAGTCAGTAACTGGAACGTTTACATCAAGCCCTTCATCAGAATACCCTTCACTTGTCAATCGGAAAAGTTTTCTTCTTCTCCATGACAATTCACGTCCGCATGTGACACGCTTGACACAACACAAGATTATGGAGTTGGGTTGGGAAGTTCTCCCCCACCCACCATGTTCTCCAGATATGGCACCATCAGATTATCATCTTTTTCGTTCGCTGCAACACCATCTTAATGGGTAAACGTATGCAAATGTGGAAGGTGTTAAAGAGGACCTCGACATGTTTTTTGCTTCAAAGCCAACAGGACATTAACAACCTGATTGTAAGATGGAAAAGCATCACCGATAAGAATGGATACTATTTCATTTAATAAATGTTTTGTTTTGATATATAAGTTGTTCGGGTTTTTTCATCCAAAAACAAGCGACATTAATTTCTTGACGACCTAATAGAAAGTAACACGTCGGTGAAAGAATCACTTCAGAAAGCTTACTTCTGTTGACTACTGTTATTAATCATTAATTGTTATTGATATTTATTGCTATTAACTAATTGTTATTGTCACTATTCACTCGTGGGCAAATGCTTTGCGTGTATACGAGCAACTAATTTGCTCTGTAGAATAACTATTTTACATTTCATATGTTATGCTTATATTTTGCATAAAAATTTGAAGGTTTTTGTGCTGTTTTTTTCTTCTTAAGAATATAAATATGGATTTTTATCCTTAGAATTATTTGTAGGAAAAATAGAGACTCTACATTTAAATAAAATTTAATTCTAGGCAACGTTGAATATTTGTTATTACATATACGTAGGAGACCTTTGAGGCTTGTCCAGCATTTGTTCATATTTTGGCTCAACTGCTTGGCAATCAAAGGGGTAGACAACTACTAAAGCATAATATCTGCACATTGAAGTTATGTGTGGAAAAATGTCTCTCTTGTGTTAGCTTCTAGCAATAATTTCACACACAAAAAAATTGCAAAGATAAATTGTAAAAGTTTACCATCTTGACAGATTGTACGAGTGCTTGTGCTCTAAAGTTAGTTATTCCACGTTATTTGTTCAACGCAACAGACATTTATAAGATAAATAAAGACACAAGCCGAATTTAATTTTATTCGAGAATAAACGCACGCCCTCTTAGTAAGTATTGAACGAATGTTGTTTACTATCCATCATTGTTTCCATATAACATTGCTTGTGACAGACTACATTAATCCGTCGCTGTTTTAATATAACTGGTGGGAGAATGTTTAATTCTAAACTGTTATCATAATATTGTAAATAATAACTATTCTAAAACTCGGTGATTTCCGGACCCAAAGGACGGCCTGTGACAACAAGTGGACTGTTTAAGAAGAAAATTAAAAATCATAATATATATATATACTAGAGAAAAATTAATAAATAATATCTTATTTATTAATGATACAGTATAAAAGAGAAAATACGTAATTTAAACATATTCAAAAGTGAACCAGCTAATTAAAATGTAGAAAAATAATAAAAACCGCTTGAGACAAAAATAAAAGAAAAAAAAGGAATTACAAAAGCCTTACAAAACGCAAATCTTGTCAGTAGGCACACACGTATAAATCGATAGTTCTAATACTATCAAATTCATTAATTGTAAATAGGCGCTTAAATCAGCACTATAATACAATAACGAAATTAATATAGACCAAAAACGTTCATAGTGAGACTTAAAAAAAAAAAAACTTTTTCCAATACCAGCCCTTGTTGTCATCACTCATAGTGGAAAGTGTTTATGGACTGGTAATGGAAAAGTTTTTGACTTTTTAGTCTCCCTATGAACATTTTTGATTTGTGTGTGTATATATATATATATATTAAGTTTGAGGTTAATTACTACTTTGGAGCACATTTTAATTTGATGATTCGGAGTACTTCTTTTTGAACTATCACACTCATATTAATTATGGAAAAATGCTTTTGTGTATACGAGCTACCTGATGAAAAACTAGTTCACACCAAAATATCAAAGTAAAATAAATCCCAAACTTAAGTTATAGATTAAACTCTACGCACATTTTTCAACAGCGTTGGTATAAGTGAGCAGTGTTATCCAGACAAGCCAAAGTCAAGGAAGGAAAACGCAAAAACAACATGTCTATCATCATCGAACTCCATAATAACTTTACCTCATCTCAACTTTTTCTATACCATCTATTGCACACAATGCCATCTTATTCCTCCTGGGAACATGAGTTGTTGATCAGATACAAGGAACCTGTTTTTACTGGCTAACAGGTTCTGCGGTTACAATCAAGATGTTGCACAGAACAATGAGTGATCCTGAGACCTAAAGTTTAAAATTCAGTCGTCACAACGTGTTATATGTTGCATGTACGCTCACTTACTAAAATAGATAATACAGTTGGAAACCTTTTAACTTTCCTTTCTGTTTTTTTTAAAGCCGTCATTCCCAATTTTGTTGCGTATTTTTTGTTTTGTATTTATTTGATACGTGTCTATTGTAATAATGCACAGTATTTATCTGTCTTGAAAATGCGCGCGCACCTTGATATATAAATGCACATGCGTGCGCACTTCATTTCAACGGATGTAAAAAAAAAAGGCGGACGTAAATATACTTTAGTAGACATTTTGCACAAAAACATGTTAAAAGATTATCAAAGTTTTAAAAAATTTAACGATAGTTCGTAGAATAACATTATAAGTTTATTTTCTGATAGTCTTAAGTACGGCAAAGTTTAGCCCTATCTAAATTAAAGCAAAAACATGCACAAGTTGCAATGTTAATTTATCTCTTTATATAATATAGGCCGTATTTAATAAAAGCTTGAAAAAATGTTCAAAAATGATAAAACGCACGTCTGTAACAAAAACCTTGTTTTATTATAACTTGCAACGTTTCTGCCCGAAACGTTGCAAGTTATGGTAAAAGAAAAGTTTTTGTTACAGACGTGCGTTTTATCATTTTTGAACATTTTTTTTTATTATTTGTTCACGTCTTTCAGTCTTTTCTACTGTGTTTTTTTAAATAAAGGCTTAACTAATGTTAGGCTTAAGACATATGGACTTGTAGATTTCGGTGTCTGTGATTAGAATTATTTTGTATAATTCTATAAATCTTGTATTTAAAGAAGTACTATTGCAATAAGCTACTAATTTGACTGCAAATGTTTTGTGGGTCTCTGCTAGTATATTCTTTAGTACCCTCACTAAAACCTTAATTTACTGTATTGTGGAGAAAAACAAAGTGTCACTGATTGATCACCAACATGAGCAGAGATTTACTAAGTAAGTGCTAGTCAGTAAGTAATTTCAGTACACATAGTATTGTTAGTGCGATATATAGTTGTTAACTTCGAAGCATTCTACTTCTGAACAGAACTCAAGAGGCACAGGAAGTGTACGAGAGAGCTTTGCAGTTTGACAGCAGTAACCCAGATATATACTATAACGTAAGTTTCCTTTTTAATCAAGCTTTAAGTAGTGGTCTCTGCTGTTGAGGCACAACACTAAACATGTATTGCATCGAAGAGCTGTAATCAATTTACTAAACACGTTTTCCAGTGTTGTTCACGTTTTTCAAAACTTTCTTAGTAAACTAAGTTGAACAGGGTTGAATAGGAATCTAGATCTGTTACATCATTCAAGTACAGTTTAATCTATGTTTTTGTGTTGTATTTTGTGCTACATTGTTTCTTCCTTGTTATCCTGTAATCAGTATTGTTTTCTTAGTTTTCACCCACTCGCATAAGATCACAAACTAGAAAATGTAACCAATAAGAAAATACTACTTCTTCTGGATAGACTTTTGCAGATTATTTTTCTTTTATTCTTAAAATAACAAAATAGATTTGATCATTTCAAAAGGAACGTTTTGGTGTTTATGTTGTTCGTGTTTTTTACAGTGATATTTATGTTCGAAAAAAGCATTTTCACTGTTATATATGTAGTTCAATTTTATGTCAGAAAGTAATTCGAAATACATTATTTATATTTCAGTTAGGTGTGGTGTATCTGGAGCAAGGAAAAGCAACTCAGGCGTTGGTTTATTTCAATAAGGCTCTAACGTTAGAGCCTGAGCATGAGGTAGAGCCCTTTTTACCATATTCAGTACAGTCAAACCTATTATTTCAAAGATATTCTCAGACACAGCATATATTTGATGATGACGAAAGTTTAATTAGTATATTTATGCATTTTTTTAAAAATCTGACGGTTTATTTATTTGTAGTTAAGTACAAAGCTATACAATGGTCTATTTGTGCTGTGTCCACCACTGGTTGTAAGTTCATAAACTTGCCGTTGTGCCACTGAGGGCAACTCTGGAGATTTCGAGAAGGCACTTTTGTTACTTTTTATCCATTGCTTACATTATTTGTTACGGAACTGATATTTGGACTGCCGACAGGGTTTCCTTAAGAAAGTTCACACTCTCGCTTTGAAGAAATTTCTGTTCGCTAGTCAGACCAGGTAGTATCACATGACTTTAAAATCGATTACAAGATCAGTGGTCATCACTTTCTGCACGTGTTGGGCACGTTACGTTTGATTTTTGTTTTGAATTTCGCACAAAGCTACACGAGGGCTATCTGCGCTAGCCGTCCCTAATTTAGCGGTGAAAGACTAGAGAGAAGGCAGCTAGTCATCACCACCCACCGCCAACTTTTGACTACTCTTTAACCAACGAATAGTAGGATTGACCGTTACATTATAATGCCCCTACGGCTGAAAGGGCGAGCATATTTGATGGGACGGGGATTCGAAACCGCGACCCTCAGATTGCGAGTCAAGCACCCTAACCACCTGGCCATGCCGGGCCAGGCAGGTTACGTAACTGATTACTTGTTACATAGGGGGAAAAAGTAATAGAATGTTTTTAAATATTAACACGTTATATTACTCGTTACATTTGTTTCTCTAGTTTTGTTATTCGAAATAGTTGTTGTGAATATTCTTTACTTTTTTTAACAGTACGTTTGAAAATTTATTTATTAAATGTATGTCAACAGGTTTCTGAAAGTTTTGGAGTATAACAAACAACTCACTCATTTATTGGATATTGCAAATACATTACAAATACATGCAACATAGCAGAAATATAACTTTGCAAATCCCTCAACTTTTATATAATGAGTGATTTAAAATAAAAAAGGAAATGAAATTACATAAAAAAATTTTTAAGTGAACAGCGAGCGTTAGTTAAAAAGAAAACTGGCATAAAGTATAACATTGTAAATTACTTAAACTATAAAAAAACACTATGTTTAGGCGATTACTGAAGAATCAGTTTGTTTACCAGTTTGCTATTGGCGAAAGTTATATTACTAAGTTGCATGTTCCTTAAATAATAGTCTACCCTAATTTACACAAAGCGGTCTATATCACTATAAGTGCAACATGAAAATTGGAAATGGAAACCAATACCTTTCAGTTTACCATTTTTAGGCAAAACATCACGAATGGACATAGACTGTTATGTATTATACTGTAAATAATAGATTTTAAGTGTATTCATAGGTACCGTTAAGTACAAAATTATATCCTAGAGTATAATAATAATGACTCCGAATAATTACTTTTAATCCACACCTCCCATAATACTACAACAATAAAAGTTATAATACTTGTTAAACATTATCAGTGACAGCTACTAAAACTTCTTCAAATAGTTTCCAAACTATGTTACGTATTACGTAACTTTCCGTATAGAAATATGTGTTGCGTTAGTTACTGTATACTTTGCATAAAGCTTTTACACAATACACTTGTGTTTTGTATTAAACTAATATTTACCTTAGGCTTTATCATGCATTCAAGATCGTACGTAGCTATAGCATAAATCGAAGGGGATTAAATGATGCACAATAAGCGTTATCATTAATCTTTCACAACATTTTTATCTTAAAGGCCCATATTTCACTTCTCTTTTGTTTTTCAAGAATATTTAAATGTATATCAAAGCATGACATGGCTTCTGTGTACGTTGTTGCGTTTCAAATAAATTAGTACTTGTTTTTATTCCAGCAAGCTTTGATGAATTCGGCCATATTAATCCAAGAAATTGGGAACGCAAAACTACGAAAAGCAGCCTATGAGAGGTAAAAAAACATTTATTCAAGCATTGCATTTAAGAAAAACCTAAATACTAAATACTAATAAGAAGTGTAAATTAACGCTATTTATTCTGATATTTCTATATCAGCTTTAACGTGCAGAACGAATACAGATAGTAATATGGTTCATACGCTTTATATTTTATTATAAATCTGATACAATAGCATAAATACGTGAGTTTATTTAGGCTTAAGAATGTTGAAGCGTTAGAACGGTAATTCGATCTCGTATGGTAATAAATGTACCATGATTTTTAACTCTTGTCATAAATATATTTTTAGACAGCAGGATTCGAAGTGTTTATCTTGATTGTTTTTAATGTTACTAGTACGTTAAATGTTTATGAAAATCAAGCATCTGTTGATCAGTTATGTGATTTAAATGCAATTGATTGGTTCATTTAGCCTAAGTGAACATTTCACTTCAATATGAACTATGGTCACAACAATTAATAGTAACAACATCTTGGCCCTGAGGTTGCATGCTTAAAATCAGAGTGATTGTAACTTGAGGTTGCATTCTTAAAATCAGAGCGGTTGTAACTTGAGGTTGCATGCTTAAAATCAGAGCGATTGGAACTTGAGGTTGAATGCTTAAAATCAGAGTGATTGGAACTTGAGGTTGCATTCTTAAAATCAGAACGATTGTAACTTGAGGTTGCATGCTTAAAATCAGAGCGATTGGAACTTGAGGTTGAATGCTTAAAATCAGAGTGACTGGAATTTCCAAGATATTCTCGCACTCTTTTCTGAAATAGCCTTTTCAGCGCATCTTTGTGTCTGGAGTCATTTAACGTAATTTAACTCATATCTTAGGAAAATCTTATATATGCTCGATGAGACTGTATGGTCCAGTGTATGTGAATGTCACTGAATTTGATCAATCTCTTATTCTTCAAGGGATATGTCTACAGTTTAGTACGGTGGGAGCGGGTGTTATCTCCCACTAGGCTTAAGGCAAGGCCAGTTAAGCGCAACATCATATGGTATCGAGGAAAATATCATATAATCGTAGGATTAGGTGACCATCATATATGACATTAACGGTACCATTCCATAGGACGAACAGGTCGGTACGTTCACCAATTATTATTCGATTTGCGGCCTACACCATACTTCCACCATCACCATCATATGTTGTTGGTCCACTGGACCTTCTTCTTAGTACCATTGTAAGTTAGCTGTTTTTCACCTTGCTACAATCGAAAAGTATCTTGACGTGTGGCATACATGCTAACCATGTGAAGCCTGTTTTTAACCATCTTACAACGTCAGATGGGGCTGTGAACATATGATTCAATCTCAGAGCTAATTCCTTACGATTGCAGCGAGACAGTGTTGACTGATAACTGTTGCCTGCTTATGTATGATAGTCTGCCTTGCTCAGATATCCGAACAATCGTACCAATGGTTTGGAAGTAGTTTCTAACTCTGATAACGCACTTTGAGACACTTTAATACAACACGCAACAGCCTGCTGTAATTAGCTGTATTATATTTATCCAATGGCTCCCCACATGAATAAAACACCCATGTATATTTCTTTGAGTTCTAGTCATGGTTCTAATTTTGAGAACTTTGAACGTGTGATTCAAAGTGTTTGTTTGTTTGTTTTTGATCATGCACAAAGCTACACAAGGGCTATCTGAGGTCTGCCCACCACGGGTATCGAAACCCGGTTTCTAGCGTTGTAAGTCCGCAGACATACCGCTGTGCCACTGGGGGGCGATTCAAAGTGACGAATACAATTAAGATTGTATGAAACCACTATACGTTGTACTGGTTGAATGGCTATTCTTTTGCATTCCAGGTCACATGGCTGACCATCAGGTGCCTGATTTTCATGATTTCGAACTGAAAGAGATGATTCACATTGCCACAGTGGTTATTTCTTGATATAATATTGCAAATTCTGGTTATCATTTAATTTTTTCAGCAGTGTACGTACGGATGTATCGCAATTAATTTTTATCAGTGATTCCTGATTTCAGCCGCAACAGTCACTGTTTCATTGTCAAACTCATTGTCAGTGTTTTTTAACTTTACTCCAATTAGTCCAAGTGTTTAAAGCAGCTTTTTTTGCCATTTTAGCTGCTACAGAAGACTCATCTTTACAAAAAACTCCACGAGTAAATTCGTAACTTATACCATACGTATGGTAGTTTTGATAGATCTTTATTGTTCCAACAGGCTTATTTATATGCCATATCCATCAACTTGTGTGTATAAAGTACGGTAAAAATTACATGATGCATTAGTCTAATTGCAGGAAATGTGTTTTTGGTGGTTGAAACAGTATGTTGTATACTTTTATAAAGATTTGTTATCTCAGTTGTATATGGAACAAAATATTGTATCAATGAAGCAAACATTTCTAATAAATAAGACAGGGAAAAGGATGACCGATTAACTATCGATTTCTGGTTCTTGGGTAATGTGAAACAGGTTCTTATCTTTAGTTTTAGTTGTCCTCGTTATTGAGGTGAATTGTATCATTTCCTAATATATATATACCTTATTACAAACTATTTTGCGATGATGGAAGTATAGAAATATGCAATTAATTGCAGTTTTTTTAATTACTTTGAAGCACGTTTAGACCCCTAACCTCACTCTCAACATATCTGACTTTGACAAAGTACTACGCACGTAGGCTGGCATTTGAATTGAGGTTTTGGTTTGTGACTTGCATATTTTCAAGAGAATTACACACACAGATGCTCCCATACACTTTAATTGTATTTTCCACCAAACATGTGGTCATTAGGTATACATATTTAAGTATTATTCTGTTGATAAGTCATTACTTAATGTAGGAAATAAGGAACAAAAGCTCAAGAACAATCTAATAAGTTGCTGAAGCGTGAAAAACTTGGGAGGCTGTCTTCTAAAAAGTGTTTGTTTGTTTATGAATTTCGCGCAAAGCTACACGAAGACTATCTGCGCTAACCGTCCCTAATTTAGCAGTGTAAGACTAGAGGGAAGACAGCTAGTCATCACCACCCACCGCCAACTCTTGGGCTACTCTTTTACCAACGAATAGTGAAAGTTACCGTCACTTTATAACGCCCCCACGGCTGAAAGGGCGAGCATGTTTGGTGGGACGGGGAATCGAACCCGTGACCTTCAGATTGCGAGTCGAATGCCCTAACTACCTGGCCATGCCGGGCCTCTAAAGAGTGTGTTAGATCAGTCAAGTTCTGAATGTTGAGAGATATAGTTTCATTCTTTGTACATAAGACAAAAATAAAGTTATGGAAAGTAAATGTAATTTAGAATGATATTATCGTAGTTTAAATTTTTCAACAATTACAAGATATTAATTAAACCCTAAATTATTGACTTGTTTTTATATCATTCAATACCGGTATAGTCCACCTTTTGCATAATATAGAATTATTTTATTTTTTTACCTGATACAACACAAAAACTCACCGAAAATTTGGTAAAATAACTCATTTTCTATGTAAAATACATAGGGGACCCCGGAAGTAATTAGTGTAATTATTTGAAAGATTTACAATATTTTTGTTCGACCCAGAAGAAATTTGATACTTAAACTGTATAGAAAAACGTGTTTTAAAGCCGTTCTTATGCGAACCCCATAGGTAGTTCCAGGGTTAAGTAGTGTTTTAAGAAAATACATTGAGAATTCTAAGGAATTCGTAGAGGCTGCTTTGTATGTAGTTATCTCAATGGATGTTGCAGTTGTTGAGATAATTATTTCAATTAAAACAATCTTAGCAGTGTGCTTATTAAGAGGCTTCTCTTGCTCTGCAGTCATCGCAAAAGCCCATTGTAGAGAATTGTTTTAGTGGTCCATTTACATGTTAAAATGATGATTTGTGCACCTCACAGTTTCTATTGGTTGACTATTTGTTCTGTGATTTTAGCTAATTTGTTGCCCTTTTTGAATTGTTAAGATAACGGTGTTTTCTTCCGCCATTTGCAAGAATTACTTTTCATGTTCGTTACCAATGGTTTGTAGGTTACAGTTACTTCTTCGAAAAGGAAAAATTAACGAACGTGTGTACTTCAACCTGGGAATGTTATCAATGGACGATCAGCGATTACTCGAAGCTGAAACCTGGTTCAAAAAAGCTATTGAGGTTAGTGTTGATGCCCCTATAAAACAGCTGAAAAAATAAATAATTATAAATTATTTTCAACAATTCTGAGTCTCAGTTATTTCCAGATCCAAAAGACGGCATGTGGCGACAAGTGGCATGTTTAAGAGGAAACACTGAATATGATAATATATGCTTGAAACAAGTGGATTTACTTAAACTTCTTATGGTTATACGTTTAGCTTACTAATATTTCAAGTTGATTTAATGCCGATCTTAAATCATTTAATTTCTTATTGTATAGATAACACTAGTTTTCATGTGTGAATTATGTTAACAAGTCTTGTATTTTGTTCTCTTGGTTCACAATAGGACATTCAGCCAAAAGTTTGTGTTTTTTTATAAGTGTTTTATATCTATAAGATGTTCAACATCTCTTCCGGAAATTTAATTTCCGTTTCAGGTAAGGGAAGATTTCCGCAGTGCATTGTTTAACCTGGCGCTACTGTTATCAGACACCAACCGTCCGTTAGAGGCCGTGCCTTTTCTTAAACAACTTTTAAAGGTGAGGCTTAACTAGACTATGTTTTGTTACCACTAGCATTTGTCAGTGTTAACGAAATTATGAAGCTAAGTTTTCTTAGCGAGTTATCAGTTATATAATTAGATAACAGGAGAGAAAACTTTCAGAAAATAACTAAAGGAACAACAAAATAGAAAACTTTCATAAATTATAATAATAATAACAATTAAACAACAACAGTATAGGAATCTGTTTCATACATTAAAATAATTTAAAGAGCAACAGGATAGAAACTTATTTTACAAAAGAGAACATCAACCAAACAACTTTTTAAAACGTTGTTTAGTTACTGCGATATTTGAGTAATCTTATGTTTTATTCCAACTTCTCCTGGATTTTGTTTTACATAGTGACAAAATGCCCTCAGAAGTCAGTGTTAAGTCACAGTCGGACTTAGTTTAGGTTGAAATACCTCTTTAAAAATACTTTTAAGGCTTTACTTACCACAATTGAAAGAAAAATATGATAAAACATATAAAATGATACAAACGGTTACCGTAATGAAATGAAATAGATTGATTTATAATACTCATTATAATAATAATATGACAGGTTTATAGATCTGTTAATTTTTGAAATGCTTGTTTTGGTAAATCTGAGAGAAACAGTTGTTGGAAATGAAGTGATCACATAGTTAATAGCTCAATATACGGTAAATATATAATCAATATGATATCTAACATACTTAAATGAGTACAATTTACCCAATATTGCTGTCAAAGTTCACCCATATATTATTCATCAATAGTATCACGCGGACCACGTGAAAGGATTGATTCTTCTTGGGGACATCTACATTAACCATGTCAGAGACTTGGATGCAGCAGAAGATGTAAGGGTCAAGTAGTTGCCATTTTTCTTTTCACGACATACAATGGATTTTTTATAGAATAAATTCTAATTACGTTAAATATTTATATGGAACAACTTGTTTAAGAAACAAAAATTATAGTAATAATAGGAATGATCCACTGTCTTGTTGTAATGGCTCATGGCGTACTGAAACTAATTATAATCCTGAAATAGTATCATTTTATACTATTATTATTATTAGTAATCAATTGTGACGTATCCTACTAAACCATGCTTCATTATTTAGATGACCCGTAACTGCTAATTTATGTAACTTTTCAACAAGTATTTGTGTCATAAAAAAAACTTACTCCCAATCAACCAGTCACATTTTCGTGGATATTTTAAATTTTGTAACATGATCTAGGCAAAAAGTTTGGGAATATAAATTTAATATTTGAGTTCACATGAACTACGTTTTGCTTTTCAGAAATGAAATTAAAACTACTAGTTCTCCTATGTCAGCAAGGCATTTCAAAGCAGAACTGGCTTGCTTACATGCCACTAGAAAGTGATTAATTATCGTAAATAGTTATCTATATAAAATATGAACTTCTTAAATTTGTTGAGTATTGTTCAATCGCTTCTTTTTTAAGTTTCATTGATTACTTTGATTTACAAAACAGAAGAGTTGGGATTTTTTTGGCACTAAAACAGGTGATTCAATTTCATTACTTTCAAAATCTATAAAGGAATATATCTTAAAGTTTAAAAATTAAAACTATTTTTAATTCAGTAGACTTATCCATTATCTTTTTATTTTTCATTGAAGTATGCACAGATTGCTTTATAGTATTAGACCAAACAAATGACGTCATCTTAAGGTTGACCAACTTCTGTTGGTGACGTAGATGCATTCACTCTACAATTTCAAAGAAAATTTATAAATATCTACCCTGTCACCGATTTTTATAGTTTTTTAATCTAAATAGAATATTTATTTATTCAGCATAAACTAAAATATTTTGAATTACATTTTCTAAGCCCCTCGGTGGCTCAGCAATAAGCTTGGGAGGTTGTAACGCTGAAAATCGAGGTTAAATTCCTGTCCTGGGCACAGCACAGATAGCCCACTGTTCAACTTTGATTAACGACAAACAAACGTTTTCTGAAAACAAATACGTTTCTGTTATCAACGTAAAAATTATTACATTATACTTTTATGTTTATGTATTTTAATTAGTGGCTTTTTTTAGAAAAAATAATACACATACACTTGATTATTACACTTTATTGGATTATTTAATGTAATAACTAAACTTTGACTAGTATCATTCTTTATGTCTGTGAATACTTAATGGAGTCTTATTATTACTAATACGTTTCTTTCAGTGCTATAAAAGCATCCTTGATATGGAGCCGACAAATGTGCAAGCAGTACACAATCTGTGTGTAGTGCATGTTGAACGAGGACATTTACAGAAGGGAGAACAGTGTTTGGTAAAAGCTGCAGAACTAGCGCCTAAGGAGGAGTACATACAGCATCATCTTCAGATTATTCGCTCACGTTTACAAAAACTTCAGGCAAAAACGTCCACACAAATCCAGCATGAACAGTCAAGCTCTTCTGTTCACGAGACAGCTGGGCAAACAAATCTGAAACATGATTCCAGAAGTAAAACAAAAAACAATGACCAGGATTCGTTATCTCCTAAAAATTCAAATGTTGATAGCTCACGCCACAGGCAGCAGTCTACACAGAAGTAAAGGGTGAAGGTAACTGAGGAACGGACAATGATTTCATTGAGTCATTCCTGCTTGGAAAGTTGGTGCTTTAGGACTTATCTGTAAAAGAGTATTACATGTCCTTTGTATATACGGTGGTAAGACAGCTTTATATGTTTGTTCCATTAAAAACAAATCTAGTTTTGACAAAAGCAAAGATATTATATTAGCTACGAGCTAACAGATGAAAATTATTTTGTGTACAAAAAATATAAAATCAAAACACTACTGCAGTAACGATTGAGACAAGTGTTTTCTGTTGGAAGTATTGACGGGCACAGTTGTTCAAAACATATCAATACCTATGAATATTAAACCCGTGTAAGTACGCCTGAATATTTTGTTAAACTTAACCTAACTCTAATGGAATTTTAAAGCTTCATGAAAAAGGAAACCTTCCATTCTGATGAAGAAATATAATAATTTTTTTGACTGAGCTTTTTTCACCTGTTATTAATTTTTCATAATGTTTAAGCGTAACATCGGTTATGTTTTAATTGCGTGGCTCAAACGTAAAACTAAAAATTTACTTATTCAAACAAATTAATTATCAAATAGCTCCCATAGTAGGCTCTGGTGTACTTAAACATCTTATGATTATACAATTAGTTTACTAATATTTCAAGTGGATTTGATGCCCAGTCTTGAAACGTTTAGTTTCTTATTGTATAGATAACAAGAATGTAGTTAATGATGTAAGAAATTAAGCTGGATGTTTACATCGTTAATCAGCTCTTACGGTTTTTGTAAGTTATTGGCTATGGAGGGGAGGGTAGCTTCTTACCACTACACATTATTACAGGCAAGACAAGGATTTGATTTTATTAAACATGAGCCTGCATGTGCGTCATAACTGTAAGAATTTCCAATGTTCGATTTTAAATTATTTTATTTCTTCGAGTAAATGAATTTTTTGACGTCCTAACAGCGTTGGCAGATTCATAAAATTGTGTCTTTTAGAAAGTAAATTTAATAAGTTTAATATGATATATTTTTTTAATTTATCATTCCCAGCTGAGGCGTATAATTAGGCTTTGCGAGATCGATTTTCTTGACTTAAATCACTAAATTTTGAACAGCAATTTCGGAAATCCACTGATGACTCATTTTGAGTTATTGTAACCGGTTACAAAACCAGAGAGCTTTTCCAAGACAACTTTTAAATTAAGGAGTTACAATCAAATTGTAGGTTAATAGAAGAAAAACGTTCCATTGAAGAAAACTTTTAAACTTTGATAAATTAAGTAAGTGTTTCCTCCATATAATTTGTACTATTTAATTTCTTCAAGAATAGCTAGAGAGAATAATGTATTTTCATAAGTAAGAAAATTATTACCAGTACGCATTTCTGACTAAGAGTGAGCTAAGATACAAAATAATACTAGACTAAAACTTGAAAAGGCAATAATGCGAGCTTTCTAATAAGGCCGGGCTTGTTCTAGTGGCTTGCGTGCCTGGACTGTAAGTCCGAGGATTTATGATTCACTTCTCGTTGTCGCAAAATCTCGTTCCTCACTTTGGGGAGGTGGGTTTTGTGTAAGAGAGAGAGAGAGAGATAAAAAATGCCGCTGTTTGACCAGACAAAAGTAACTAAGAACTGATGATTGGAACTGTTGAGTAACTGCCATCCATTTAGTATATCAGATCAAAATTAGGGACGGCTATGTGCAAATTGTCATTGTGTAGTTTCGCGTGAAATTCTGAAATAAACCATTATTAGAGTTAGGGTTTCCAGTTATTGCCGTTTCAAGGTTTTGATCAGTAGTTATTTCGTCCACATTTCGTTATTTCGTTGTTATACATATTATGTGATACTCTGATAATGCAAAGTTACTGACGTTGGGACAGAAAAAAAAATACGAACTGGGTATAAGAAAAAAGGGGGAAAAAAACACTAGTATTATAGTCATTGAAACACATACGATACTTACAGAGGTTTTGGCTTGCCTAAGTTTTCGAGACTATTTTTTAAAGTGTTCGAGTAAATACCTGTGTAAGGTGTTTTTAATACATTGTATTTTCATACTTTAGACTCACGTAAAGAACACGTAAGAAATTAGCGTTAAAGTTTAACCCACTTAGCGTTAATTGTGTGATTAAAACGTTTTACCGTACACTTATGACGCGTGAAAGCTTCGTTTTATCGAACATAGCAGTCTGAAAGGGATTTTTCTTAAAGAATCATATTTTGCTTAATAAGATATGGATAAAGATGGCTGTTTTTATTTTATATTTATTATGTTCTTTTTGTTTTATTAGCAGGATGGTCTTGCTAATTTTTTCCACCCAGATATTAATTAAGTTGAAACTTTTTTATAAAATACGAAATCTGTAGATAAAACCTTGTTAATGGAAATATTTCTGTCTATTTACACAACTATCTGATGAACCAAATCTAATTTAACTGTACTATTTCCGGTAAAACAAATATTGGACCTATTGTAAAAGAACCAGATAACGTTATTTATTTTCCTTATTTTAATATAGTTGTATGGTGGATGGTCATTAATATTTTTAATGCTATCTCGTATTTGTCATTTACTCTGTGATCAAATATTTTTTAACTGCTGATCTCGAACAATGATAACCAAGATACAAGTTTATTAAAATCGCAAGAATCGGCAATATAAAGCTTCAAAATCTGTAGATTTGGAATGCTTCAGACGTAGCCTCATAGAGCCGGAAGATAAGGTTGGTTATTTTCCACTTGGATGTCTAAGAAATTGACCGTGTTTTCGAACACACTTGGATATAAATTCAATTATGGAAATTCTTTAAACTGTGTGCACAAAAACATCTGTTTCACATATGAATATCCCAAACTACTGGATATAGAAACAGTGAATGTTAATTTTCATTGAGTCTGGTTTAGATTTTGTAGAATATTTTGACGTATAATTGTTTTGTCTTTAGCAAGGATAAAAATATTATCATGGATGTATTTCTATTTTAAAAGATGTAAGTGTAATTTTTTTGCGAATAAACTGACGAAGACTTCAGTTGTAAAAGAACACACATAGAAAAATTATTTATAAAAGTACAGCAGAAAAGGAGTGTGTTTCAGGTATTATGTCTATTTCAAAATGTTTTATCTTTTTTTTTTCACCTTGAATCTATAATTATCTGCACTTAATTTGAAATTACACGAAAAACTTGTAATAAATCAGAATGAAAAACGGGGCTTTCCACATTTACAAAGTGCTTGGTTGCCCTCACGATGGTGTGTTTTTTTCTACTTCATTGCTTACGAAACAAGATTTAGAATCACATATTCAAGAAATATTGGAATTTAAGTTGATTGTGTATTTTTAAAGCTATCTCATTTTTTAGAACAGTTTGTAATTTTGTTTCCAAAGTGTTATGTTTCCCGTTACATTATGAAGCGGTATTTCAACTCATGAGCTCTCCGGCAGTTTCAGCGGTAAGTCTGAGGACTTTTTACGCTAAAAATTCGGTAAGCTCAAGCACACAGTTTAGCTTTGTGATTAATAACAAACAAACAAATAAACGAACAAATCAACTCGTGGAACATGTTTTTAACTGAACAACGTGTGTAATGTAAATTTATGGATATTAATAACTATGTTGCTTGTTTTGAAGGTAAAAATAATTTTTATTTATTTGTGCCAAAATGTATAACTGTAAACACGCTTTGGGATAATAATAAAATTATCACGTAATCTTTTGGTTCATTTGATTGATTGATTGATTTCGGAGATTTACACAGATATGTGTATATAGTGTACATATTTCGTTACACTGATGTTAAGTCTCGGAAATTCAAAAAATATAATTATACTATGTTACTAGGAAAGATTTGGAAAGAATGTGACATTAGCGATTTTATTAAATTTTCACAAAATGAAATACAAAGCCCGGCATGGCCAGGTGGTTAGGGCGCGGGTTCTAATCCCCGTTCCACTAAACATGCTTGCCCTCTCAGCCGTGGGGGCGTTATATGTGACGGTCAATCCCACTATTCGTTGGTAAACGAGTAGCCAAAGAGTTGGCGGTGGGTAGTAATGACTAGCCACCTTTTCTCTAGTCTTTCACTGCTAAATTAGGGACAGCTAGCGCAGATAGCCCTCGTGTAGCTCTGCGCGAAATTCAAACCAAACCTTATTAAACAAAAATAAAATTCCGTTATATTAGTGAAGATTGGAAAAAGGCAACAACGATAATATATAAGGTAATTTTATAAGCTCTATATTCTTTTGTAAATTCGCAATAAAAATAAAATTACGCTATACTAATAAAGATTGGTAAAGGCGAGAAAACTTATGATTATTTTCTGATTTTTTTTTCAATTTCTGCCATTTGTAAATATAACAATAAATAAAAAAGACGTGAAACTGGAAATAATAACGAATATTTTTCTAAGAGGATTATTTGCTACAGCTAGATTAAGACCTTTGGTCAACATACGACATTTCTACAGTACGTGCATATATTCTGATAACCTAAGCCTTTCCTCAAAAATACATCTCGACACGTAAACCTTATGTAAGTTTTCTTCTCACAATTCTAAGTCGTCAGTGAGAAAGTCAGTGTTGTAGTAAATACAAACAATGATGAGGAAAGTTAAAGGTTACTGCATTAACTAACGTTCTCACCATTAAAACAATTGTCATCTGATCTCGAAGATGCGTTATAGAAAAAATAAATGTCCAGCTGAAGCTGGTACATAGAGTAGAACATTTGAAGTTGGGACCCGGAGTATAATTGACGAGATAGATAAACCACTTGACAGCAATCCTAACATGCTTTGTACTGTGTAATATAATTTCTTAGACACTAAATTGTTGGAAAATGTCTAAGATTCGAGAAGATAACCCTTTTAATATATGTCAATTTTAAGGCGAGTAAATCTTGCGTTTAATTATATAAGAAATAAAGGTTTACATTTCCAAATACACTAAATATGTAAGCATATATATCTTTTAATATGAGAGCCACTCCGATAAACAAACAAAAAAAAAGGGGGTTTGCTCACAAAGATATTTTTTTAACTTTAGACACTCTTGAATTTAGATCTGGTCAGTACTTTACAAAATTAATAAATAATTAAAAATCTGTTGAAAAAGAACGTAAGATAAGATTTTGGCGATCGAAAATCAATCGCTTTTATGACTAATAGCCTATACAATTAGTAAAGAGTAAAAGATATAACTAATTAATTATTAGGCTTTGGCGAACGCCTAGACTACTAACAATTACAATGAGTCAAAAACGTTTTCTTTATAATGACACCAGTGACATTATGCAGTTAAATGTTTTTGGAGGGCACAGTCAAAAAACAGAGTACTTTGGTTATCAGTGGGGGGGTTAAAAATAATATGTGGGGTGCCTTTTACTTGTCATGTTATTAAGTTTCCGCCATTACGTAATTTGATTAACTTACTGGGAAGGAAACGACGCCCCTGAATAACACGTCTGAGTATCCAAAAAGTTTGGAGAATGGTTGTAAAAATAATAAAATCACTAATAAATTACCGAGCAGAAAGAAATGTTAAGCAATGACTACAACTTTTTAATAAATGTATTTTTGAAGATATATGTATAATTTGGGTATATACGTCGAATATACTAGAATATACACCAACTGTTTATCATAAATTTAATTGCATAAAAACTATAAAAGTATATACACACAAATAAATAAATTGGAATGATCTTTACAAATTAGAATACATTTGATACACTTTGAATCGGGTTTAGTTAAAAACCTATTTTATTATATTTGTGGTAAAACCGTCTGTCGTCGACCCTAATTTTGAATTAATGATTAGAAGGAAGTAGTGGATCGATTGGTACTCTTATAACGCACCCATAGCATAATTTGTTTGTTTGGAATTAAGCACAAAGCTACACAATGAGCTATCTGTGCTCTGCACACCACGGGTATCGAAACCCGGTTTCTAGCGTTGTAAGTCCGCAGACATACTGCTGTGCCACTGCCCCCCCATAGCATAAAGTGTAAGAAATATTTCGTGATATTGCGTAGATTCGAACCCGGGTTTACAGTTGAATGTGACTATTTGTTATATGCCTAAACAATGCAGCATTTACCTTGGATGCTAAACATTCATTTCATTTGGTGAGGTAAAAGATCAGTCTACATTATATCCCACTATTATTTTTTAACCAATTTTACAGGTGTTCAATTTTTAATTCTTATGTAGACTTGAAATAAAAAGTACTTCATGCAGAGAAAACAAACTTTATACTGTAGGTGAAAATACTTTTTCTTTGATATAACTTGTTTGTTTTACTTTTCAGCTCACGTTGTTAGTTTAAAATTAATTTTACAATACTCATGTGTTTTCCAAAAGTAACGTGTCGTCAAAAACCATATTATATGTTCGAATGCGTCTGTTGTTTTATTTCTGACAATTAAATGTGAATCTAGCTCAAACTTCTATAAATATGAGCTTTAATTTCTAGCAAAGGATTCACTTTTAACAAACTAAATATATTTGATGTATGGGCTAAGTCTGACCAAAATATGTTAGTGATAACAATGCTTTGATGCCAAAAATTCCAAATATAGAATCTCCTAAAACACACTGTGAATATCCATAATTGTCTAATGGAATCGGGATTTAAGCAGTATGTTACAACGCAATGTTTCGTACACCTTCTGGTTTTAAAGAAACGTAGCAATATTCAGCTCGAAGAAATATAGCGGAGTAATTGAACTCAAAAGCATAAGCTATTTTTGCAGAATTCGTTGATAACAGTTCATGATTGAATTCAGATAAAAATATCTGCGAACACGTCTTATGCTTCCTTACCATTATTTTTGAAAAGGATGTACAAGTTTTCCGTCGTTGTGTTGTTTCGTTTTAAAAACAACTGACTTGGTATTCAAACTGTGTTTGCCATTCTGAATAATATA